CAAGCTAGCAGCCGCTGCCGATGTTTCACTGCCCCCCCGAAACCCCCGCCCCGGCCTAAAGAGTGGGACTCTGATGATACTTTCTCTCCTCCCCCTCCTCCTTCTCACAATCCTTCTGCCATTACTCCTCTCCTCTCCTCCCTCCCTCCTCCGTCCGTCAGTCCGTCTCCACCTCACTTCACCTCCCTCCTTCTCTCACCTCTTATTTTTTCCTCCACATTTTATTCCTTCTGTGTCAGCAGTACAGACACCAGCACCAACAGGCAGCAGATAATACAAGGATATAAACTCCCCCCCCCCCCCCCCCCCTCCCTCCCTCCCTCACTCACTCACATGGACTGCTTCCTTTTCTGTGTGGGCTCGAATACAAAAAGCTGCTGCCTCTTATCTTTGCCCGCTGTCTTTACTTCTGTGAGTGTGGAGTCAAACAAGCGTGTGTGTGTGTGTGTGTGTGTAGAAAAAGGATTTATCTTTGTGCTGGTGTGAGTCACAGCGATGGGGTTTTTCTAGTTGTTTGGTTTTGTTTTGTTTCACTAATGGCCGACCTGCAGAACTTCTCTCTCCTCTGCAATTAGACCCAAAACATTTGAAATAAACAAATCTATAAACAAAGATGAAGCAATTCATGCCTTGATTGTTGCAATGCCACCGACCGCAGTCAAACGGTGTGATCATCCAAAACAGGTGGAAAACGCTCTCCGCTTCACAAACCTCCCTTTGTTAAAAAAACAACAACAATAGATGCCATTTATGTGCGTTTTAAGACTGGACCTGGAGCACAGGCCGTGGACGCTGCTTCATCCCTGTCCACATGGAAAAACACTGGCAGGGTGAACACCTCAGTGTGGCCCACGGTTTCATGGACCGCAGCCACAACCAGCACCGGGGCTGAAAAGCTCTGCATCATCCAGCCAACGAGCTGCAGAGCTGGAGTCAGGGACGGAGGAGTTTCTTTTTTCTCCCTCTTTGTTTTTTCTTCCCCTTCTGTTCTCGCCGACTTCCCTCTTCCAATTTCAGTCTGCCTCTTTGGTGAAAATGTTTACACTGAATTAAATTTGACCAGCCTTCTCCCCAAAGCTTTATTTATGCCTTTGAATTTCATTCCCAGCCTCAGCAGATCAATACCAACTCGGCCGCCTGTCCGTCTGTTAGCATTCACTAAGAAAAACTTTAGTTGGCAAAAAAATGATATAAAACTAAATCCTCTGGAGTCTTCTGATGAAACCAGAGACACGCGTCACGTCCGCTGAGGTTTGGCGTCTGAACGCTGAGAAGAGGGGTAACTTCTTTTGCCCCCCCCCCCTCCATAGTGCCCTAATCAGCAGCCAGTTACTGCAGCGTGATGCTAATGAAACGTTCACATTCCCAGCCACAGCAGTCACTCACAGTGATGCAAGCTGAAGGAAATCAAAATTACAGGCAGAAATGGGAGTGAGGGAGGACGAGGGGGGAGGAGGGGGGAGGAAACTTGCATCACGGCGGCCGACAGGCAGCATGTTGCGTCGGTCAAACCAGTGCTCTGCTGGCGTCGTGTTTATATCAGAGCCGGTCGGTGGGAGGCAGGGAGGTGAATCGGAGGTTGACTGGTGCCGTGCTTGGCTGGACTCAGTGAAGTCGTACACGGTCGCTGTCAATAGCTGTCACACGTTACAAGCTGCGTTTTCTGCTGCTGTGACTGCAGAGTGGGGGAGGGAATCAGGGGAGGGTCTGTGGGACTCGGTGGGCAGAGTGGAACGCTAACAAATTCCACTGAGCCTGCAAAAAAGTGTCGACAGTGTGTTTGTGTTTCCCGTGTTGCTAAAAATACAGTAGGGAGGAACGCCACCAGAGTTTGTTACTCGTCAAAACTAGAACTGAGTTAAAGAAAAAAAAAAAAAAAAAAAGCGTAGATACCTGGAACGTGCAGCAGGTGGCATTTGTGCTGACTTCTGCTGAAAAAGCGTAGAGATTTTTATTCTGCCGTGCAAGAGTCGATATTTTATTTGTATTTTTTTATTTTGTTTATTTCCAGAAGAAATAAGCGGTTCGCCACTTTTGCAGTACTAATACTTTTACTTCATTATACACAAAACTTTATAGAGCCAGAAAATAACTTTTTGCGACATTTTCTTTGATTGGGTGCTGCATAATTTTGCAGTCTTACAGAAATGATGTTAAAAAACATAATTCTTACCCTGTGGACATCATTTAATTCACACTGATGGATTTAGCAGCACCTAGTGGTAAATTAAATCTTCTGGTTAATTGTTTTTTTTTCTTTAGAAAATATCATACACAGTGGCTACATTTTTAATAAAGCTCTTAGAACCTCTGATGATTTCATTCGTATCTGCTCTTAGAATCATTTTCTCCACGGATAAAAAAATTCTGCACTAATTACACAGTGTAAAACCTCGTTTTCCCATAAAAAACCCACTCTGGAAACCATCCAACAAAGTCATGCCACATCAGAACAAATCACCAGGACTACATTCACCAAGTTTCACAGTTCTCCAAGAAAAAGAAAAAACCCCAAAATAAAACAACATCATTAAAACTACTCAGAAAAACAACAAAAACCTCTGGCCAGTCATTTCTAAAAGATTTGACCGTTCACTTCTGGGGCCACAGAGCAACGCAGTTATGAATATAATATAATATAATAATATGAAGCAAAAAGACAAGTCTGCAGAATATTTACAGCATGAGGGGCGAGGTCCATTTCAGATCCAGATCAGCAAGAACCACATGATTCTGGTCCACAGCAGGCGTGTTATCCAAGGACTAAAAAAAAAAAAAAAAAGTAATAAGAAATCAACATCAGGTTCAATCTTATCAACCTTAGTATTAGAAAGACACNAAAAAAAAAAAAGAATAAAAAATATCTGGTCAACATCAGTCTGATCAAACCTAGTATTAGAAAGACATCAATGATAAATACTGTAAATTAATTTTAGAAAATGATTTCTTCTGAAGCACAGACATCATATCAGGTGATTCCAGGTCATCTTGTAGATCAGACCACCAGCCCCTGACAACAGGGCTACGATATAAACCTCTTCAACCCTGATTTAATTAATGTAATTCTGGTTTTTCTCTTGACTCAAATTCTGTTGACTTTGGTGTAAGAGTGAGAAGCACGACCTGGCCCGGCAGCAGGTGCTGGGAATGTTCTTCATAGTTTCACATGTTTGTGGGGTTTTATTTTTCCAGGTTACCACAGTTGAAAACATAGAGGATTAGGTTTAAAGTCACCTCTTAATTCAACGTCCAGGTCTGGGTACAGACCCAGTGAAGTGTCCAGGTCTGGGTACAGACCCAGTGAAGTGTCCACTTTCAGGTATATTCTCTGTGAAAATAGTGGATAAAAAGTCAACTTTAGATTTTACTCCTCCCCAGAGTTCTTTTTCTTCCACTGCCTCTCGATCTTTGTCTGAGTTTAAACCACAGAATCCGACTCCTCATCCCTGAGCAAACACACATGATTGGTCGTTACCGTCCAGCTCTACCCAATCAATGTCTCCGTCCTCAGAGACTCTCTTTCTCTAATTAAGACATTTCCCTGAATTCATGCCAGTTTCTTTTTTCTTACACAGGAAGGTCAATCTGACTGTTGTCCCACAACAACCCTGAGACCTGGTTTACAGCCGTGACAGTCAGTGACTGACTGACTGACTGACTGACTGACTGACTGACTGACTGACTGACTGACTGACTGACTGACTGACTGACTGACTGACTGACTGACTGACTGACTGACTGACTGACTGACTGACTGACTGACTGACCGACTGACTTTAACTCACTCACCAGTGTAATCACCCCATGTTTCATCAGCGCCCTCTAATAGGACAAACGATGGCTATAAAATACATGGAAACAAATTAAGCACTGGTGTCAGGACTTTAATGGTTCCAATTAGTCAAAACCTTCAGGAATGGACTTTATAAGGAATGAAATGCGACTGATTCTGTAAAAAAGGAAGAAAACACTGTTCCTACAGACATGATCGTGATTACAATACAACACACTGTTGATAATTGAATACACAGAAAAAAAACTCTGAATATTGATTAAGTAATCAAGATTATAATCAAACATTGTTATTAGCCCGTCGCTGGTTTCATGCTAAATAATACACACAGTGCCGAGGGAGGCAAATGATCTTGACTTTTTCAGGAATAACTGGGGGAATTTACTACATTTGGCTGTGACTTCCATAGAGAAGAAGTTGAACTTTGACCTCATATAAGGTGTTTTTAGCCATGAGCCCCTGCAGAGCTGCAGCCTTCAGGAGGATCATCAAGACGAAGATGATTTTTATTAAGATGTTGGTGACATCACATTCATGTCAGTTGTTTTCTGTAAACAGCGTCAATCCACGGTTTAATATGTGGTCTGTTGCTGTCGTAACCAGCATTTGCAACTGCTGTTGTTAGCAGAGTTAGCTTTCTAGCTGCTAATCTCTTTCTCTTGATTGGTGCAGCTGTTAGCAAAATATCTTTGATTAAAAACACTCAACATTCAAACAATGGCCACAGAAAAACAGAACGTCTCGTTTCTCTTCTTCTACCTCTTTTTGTTTGTACTGCAAAGGATTTTCTGGTCCTGAATTCTGTCTCATTCTTCTTCTTCTTCTTCTTCTTCTTCTTCTTCTTTTTCTTCTTCTTCTCCTCCTCCTCCTCCTCGGGGCAGTTGTGGTGGTTAAGCAGCTGCACTTGACTCTGGAAAGTTTCAGGTTCAGGTCCACCAGGTGCCACGTGATTATGTTCTGAGCAAGGCACCGCCCCCACACTCTCCTCCCCAGGTGCCTGAGCTGCCCCCTGCTGACTACAGTGATAGGTCAGAGGTCACATTTTGTTGTGTGCTGTGTGTCTTCTCCTTCTCCTTCTCCTTTTTCTTCTCCTCTTCTCCAAGACTTACTGCCTCTAAGAGATATCTTAAATCTGGGTCACAGTGAAGGAGTGTAGGCCAGGAAAATAAAAGCAAAACAGTTAAAAACCTAAAGGAAAAAATATATTCAAAACAAATAAAAAATAATTTAAAAGCAGGAAGATTGGACAAAAACATACACGCAAACATTATGTTAAAATAACCTGGAGACAAACAAACTGAACTAAACAGCCAGGATTGTTTTTTTAAATAAAAAAAAGAGGGAAAGAAAACCCCATGAACCCCTATGAATAATAATATGCACATTATTGAAGGAACAGTGTAATGTATTCACTTTTTGGAGCTAAATGTATTAAAATCACATTCCAGGCAGTGTGTGTGTGTGTGCGTGTGATTGCATGTGTTGGCCCATTAGACTGAACTGTCGTCTCTGACATGAATGAACAACCACCTGTGGTTTTCAGCCTGAGGAGGCGTTTAGCTGCAGAAGAGTCTGGAAACACAGTGAACATGACAGATATTTGTAACAACGTTATGTTTTATTGCACGAAGCAAAAGCTGTTCATTAGATCTGGTGAAAACACGGTAGAATAGACCAATGAATCAACTTCACCAGATTAATTATAGTCGTACATTAGGGTACGTGACATAAACAAATACTCTATGTCGTGTACAGTAGAGTTCAGCACCTGGTTGTACAGAATATAGTCAATAGAAAAATCAACCCATATGTTTCCTAATAAAGGAGCACTTGATTTTTTTTAAGGCACATTCCTCAGTTTAAATGGTCGTTAGAATGAGTATTGTAAAAATAAAAATGTATGTCCATTGAACCTAAATAGGGGGCGGGGCCTGTACATAGTACTGTATAAAAAAAACCCACACACATCCCCACACACCTAAGGCCGTTAACAGGAGGAGATCATTTAAAACAACTACACCTCAGTTTGGCGTCACTGGTTTAAAGATCCAGTTCTCACGGCATCACTGGTCAAACAGGAATCACCTGATTGGCTGCCGCACGCCTCCAGAGAGCGCTAATTACAACTTGAACTTTTGAGACTTCTTTCTCGGGTTTGATCGACCCGACGGGCTATAAAAATCCATATTTAAGTTCTGGGCCACATAAAAGCTCTTCAAGTGTCACAGAGGGCCCCTGGGCAGGACGTCGGACACTAATGTTGGAGGAATTTGTCAGAAAAAAAAGACCTATAATCCACAAAGTCTGTGGTGAATTATGGCCGAAGATTGTTCGGGGAGGTTGGTGTCCTTGACATTTAGCCGTCAATTTGGCTACTGTTTGTTTGCACTGAATTTTTTTCCCTCCTTTTTTCCCGGAGCTTTGAATAACGATGAGAAGTATTTTTGCAGAGTATAACGACGTGGGAGTGAAGGTGACCCAGCTGTTTTCACACACCAGCCCTCAACCCAGGCTCATGTCTGTTATCGTTAGCTACTTTGTGGTCTGCAGTCGTTGCTTCCTCGACCTTTGACCCCTCAACATCAACTCAGGCCACCGTTGCATTTGTGCCAAGAGCCATAAAATTCGCCTTGACCAAAGCTTTATCCTTGAGATTAAATCTGTGTTTCCATGTCGAGGTATCAAACGGCCGCGGCCATTTAAGTGGATTTAGGTCGTTAATGGACTTAAAGGGCCGGGCTATCGCTTCGGACTTCAGTGGAAACCCTCGCAAAGATAAGGGGAAATTGATTTGTACGTAAACTTCCAGCAGCTTCTTCTGGAAGTTTCTAAAATGTTGTCAGAAAACAGATGATTTTTCATCGTTACCTTTGTTGTTTGTTTGACTCCTGTTAATCTTTCAGACTATTTTCCTTCTTGTTTTTGAGTCTATTATAAACCGTAAGACAGAGGTTCCAAAAGTAGGGAGCAGGGTTCCTATTAGGGACACAGCAAGAAAAAATATTTCATATACAATAAAATACAATAGGAAAAAATTAATTCCAAAAGTAAAAAGTCGTCAGCGTTGTAGTTTAGTTTGACTTTTGGCACAAAAACTGATTTTGTTCCTTTTATTTTAGTTTCATATTTTGAGGAAATAACACGAAGGAATCTCTGAAAAAGTCGTGAGTTTTCAGTTAAAACAAAAAAACTAAAGTGTACACCTCTGAATACTCATGAATATTTATACATTACCTTGCAGTAGATGGCAGCGCAGCTAACTTCCGACGCCGACTCCTCTTCAAACAGATAAACAGCAGCACTTGAAAAGGAAATTGAATATTTGTTGTTTTTTGCAGTGCTGTACTTTTGTCTATATTCACTTTTCCAGATAAGCTGAGCCATAGCTTTGGCCTCGTTCATATCTAACAGAACTCATATCTGAACGACTCACATCCTGCTCCAGGGGTCCTCTGGTGGCGCTCCTGCCTCCTCACCCTCCCACCTCCGACACCAACTGCACCTCCGCCTTTCACCTGAAGCATTACAAGGAAAACAAGGGGAAAAAAGCAGAGAAGTGTGTGTGTGTGTGTGTGTTTGCAGATGATAAGGTGTGTCTGAGACTGCATCTTCTAAAGCCGAGTTTGAGAACTCCTTGTGTTTGTGTTTCGGAGCGAGCGGTGGCGCCGTACGCTGAGAGCAGGTGAAATATCCGTGAGATTACATAAAAACCTGCGAGTGGGAAGAGGATTAGTTGTAAGTTGAAGTCGTCGCCGAAGATGTGCAGCTGTGTGTGAATGGTTAAAAAAAAGGAGAGGAAAAAGAAAAAAAAGAAGAAGCTGCTGCTCATCGTCTTCCTGCTCACGGCTGTGGTTAATTATTCACTGGGGTTGTGCTGCGGAGATGAACTGAGGGCGCTGGAATAAAGGCACTGGAGGAGGAAGATGAAATTATAAAAGCCTAATGTGGGAGCTCTGGCTGAATGGTAATTTCTTAAATTGATTTTGAAGAGGTGCCCAGGCAGAACCAACGTGGAGAGGTGTCGTACGGCGGCTGAAGGACTCCTCCATTCCTGCCTCTTCACCTGTGGCCCACAGTCTTCCTCTTTATCTCGTCGTGGAGCTTCATCATCAGCTCGCTGCTTCACCTCATCTTCTCCACTCATGTTTCATCTTCATCCTCCTCTGTGGGTCTCTCCTCAGTCCTGTTTGGTTAAATAACAATCAGTCATGATCAGAATTCATTCTGATTAATCACGATTGATCTAAAATAAATCAACATTTATCAGTGACTGTTGTTTTCTTCTGTGTACG